ATTTAATTAATAAATAACAAAAAGATTATGACAGGAAGTTAAGGACAATTAGACATGGAACAAACTGAGAGGCGTTCACAAAGAAAGGGTAAATTGGAAGATGGCAAAAGTCAAGGGCCAGAGACTAAAATGATGAAGACTGAGAAACACCTTTGAAAGTAGTGAGGTAGTGATAGGTTATCATGCAAAAGACCAATGCATTTTAATGAATTACATATGGAATCTACTCAGCAGCCACAGTGAAATCCTTGGCACTGGAAGCTGCAGAAATGAGAGATCACTCTGTGTTCCTATCTTAGAGACTACATACTATTGTGAGCACTCCATACCACAATCCAGAGACAAGCAGAACAGTCGCTGCCCCTGTTCCTTTTCCTAGTGTGCAAAGGCTGACATTCAGATAATGTGCAGCTGTCTGCCTCTCTGGGGGTTACACTCTGAATTACATAGAGAGCAACAGTGCATATTTATGTACTAGTTCTCTAAGTGACTTTATTCTTGTCTAGAGTTGCTAAATGTCTTCATAACTACAACCAGTATATATAATAATAAATATGCAAACCAAGTCCTGTGTAGGAATTCTAAAAAGAGATCCAGACAGCTTAAATTAAGATAATATTGACAACTAATCAGGAGTCCTGTATAAAATAAAGCTTACTTTATCTAAGTAGAATAAGTTTTTGATGGGTGGAATTTTAAAATGTCATGGTTTTCTATCAATTTACATAAACCATTTGACTTAATATTTTCTAGAATTTCCAAGAAAATTTTAGAGGAACGTAGTAGACTCAAAAACTTCATGTGAGAGCAACTTACGACTTCTTAAATTACCATGGAGCACTCCTGCCACTCCTCAGGGAAATATTTTCAGAGATATCTAGTAGGCGGCACAGAATTCCCTTTCTCCATTCTCAAATAGGTGTGAGAGTCACTTTCCTGTAGTATCTACACTCCGCAGTACCTGCTACCACAGTTAGTACTCTTTTGTTGTTCTTGTTTTTAAACTTATTTATTTATTTCTTATACAGTATACTGCTTGCATATGTGCCCCCAGGCCAGAAGAGGGCACCAGATCTAATTATAGATGGTTATGATCCACTCTGTTGTTGCTGGGAATTGAGCTCAGAACCTTTGGAAGAACAGTCAGTGTTCTTAACCTCTGAACCATTATCTCTCAGCCTTCCCTCCGCCCCCGTTCAGTACTCTTAACTGAAACTTTTTTTAAAATACCAATACTTCAGTATTACTGGGTCCTTTTCACCTCACTCAATGTGATCTCTTCTAGTCCATTCATTTACCTGAAATTTTCATTTTTTAAAAATAGTTGAAAAGTATCTCATCGTATATATGTAGCACATTTTCATTATTCGTTCATCAGTTGAGTGAAACATTTAGGTTCCATTTCCTTGCTATTGTGGATAAGTGAGTAATGGACATGGCTCAACCAGTGGAGTAGGTTATCAAGTCCTTGGGCATATGCCAAAGAGTGGTATAGCTGGGTCACAGGTTAGATTTACTTCTTGCTTTTTGAGCCTTCTCAGTACTGATTTCCAGAATGACTGGAACGGTTTGTTACATACAACTCAGGTCCAGACAGAGAAGGAACTAAGCTCCAGAGTTATTGGAAATCTGACCTTGTGCAATACTCCTGTGGAGAAGAGAACCAATAAAAGTCCTTGGTGTGGGAAGAAAAAGAACACAAGCCACACTTCCTCTACTGCAGTATTGCTCCCAGTCTATATTATCAGGTTATCTGGAGAATTGCTCTTGAATGTCTTGGAAATTAATCAATTTTAATAACTTAGGTTTGTCCATCTTCCTCCCAAATGTTGGTTAGAATGAATTAACGAATGGATGGAAGCCAAGGAGAAATTAATGTGTTTGTCACACTGTCTAGTTTTGTTGAAAGAAGATAGCAAAAATATTCATGTTTTGTTTTGTTTTCCCCATCTCTATAAGCTCATTTGTAGACTTATAGGTAGGTAAGAATCTTGTGGTCCTGAAAAGTTACTGCATAAAGAATGCACTTGAGAACTTTGTTATAATTAAGTTTCAGACTCAATAGGTCTGAGGTAAATTCTAAAAGTCGTTCTTTTTCTTTCTTTCTCTTTCTGTCTTTTCTTCCTTTGTTTCTTTGTTTTTTCTCCCTTCCTTTTTTTTTTTTTTTTTTTTTTTAAACCAGTTCTTTGTGTAACAGCCCTGGCGGTGCTGGAACTCATTCTGTAGACCAGACTGGCCTTGAATCCACAGAGATCCACCTGCCTGTGCATTAACAGCATGTGCCACCAGTGCCAGGTGACAGTCTTTCTAAGAGGCTTTCAGGGTGAGACCACAAAGAACATACCTTGAGTAGCAACATTACAACTGGACACGGAACCCAGAGCATGGGACCTTTAAGGATCTTGAGTAGGGCAGAATCAGCTACTTCAAACAGTATAATTTTCCCCCAAAGGTGCTGAGGGTTGGTTTGGGTAAAAGGCCTTCTGTCAACAAATAGCAGCCCACAGAATAGAAAAGGATTTTCACGAACTCCACATCTGACAGAGAGCCAATATCCGAAATATATACAGAACTCAAGAAACTAGAATCAACAAACTAAATAATCCAACTTAAAAAAGGAGTACAGATCTAAACAGAGAATTTTCAACAAAGGGACCTCAAATGGCCGAGAAGCACTTAAAGAAATGTTCAACATCTTTAGCCAGCAGGGAAATGCAAGTCAAAACGATTCTGAGATGTTATCTTATACCTGTCAAAATGGCATCAAAACCACAAGTGACAGGTTATCCTGGCAAGGACGTGGAGCAAGTGGAACACTCCTCCACTGGTGGTGGGAGGGCAGACTTGTACATCTACTTTGGAAATCAGTGTGGCAGTTTCTCAAAAACAACAACAACAACAAAAAACAAAAACAAAAACTGGAAATCGATCTACCTTAAGACCCAGCTACACCACTCCTAGGTGTGTACCCAAATGATGCTCCACCATACCACTAGGATACTTGCTCACCTATGTTCATAGCAGCTTTATTTTTAATAGCCAGAAACTGGAAACAACCTAGCTGTCCCTTAACTGAAGAATGAAGAATGAAAAACGAAAATGTGGTGCATTTACACAATGGAGTATTACTCAGCTGTTAAAACAATTGCATCATGAAATTTACTGGCAAATGGATGAACTAGGAAAAACAAAAATTATTCTGAGTGAGGTAGCCAGACCCAGAAACACAAACATGCTATGGCTATGTATTCACTCATAAGTGTATATTAATTGTAAATAAAAAGCAATCATGTTACAGTCCACAGACCCAGAGAGGCTAAATATGGAAGGCTTAAGGGCGGGGGCTTACAAGGATCTCCCTGGGAAGGGCAAATAGAATAAATTTCATAGGTGGACTGGGGGCGGGTGGGGTTGGGAGCAGGAGGGATCATATGGTGGTGGGGCATACTGGGAGAATGGACTGGAATTGGGGGGCTTTCTGAGGGAAAGTGGAAACCTAAGGCAATGGAAACGCCATGGAATCTACGGAAGTAATCCCAACAAAGACCCTGACACAAATGGACACAAAGCCTGAACCAACCATCTTTGTAACCAGACAAGGGCTTAAGTGGAGGGATTCGGACACCAAGCCAGTCACAAAACCTTCAACCTAGGTTGCAGAATGTTCTGAGACCAGAACCTAACAGAACCATCATCAAAGAGACTAGGGAGACTTCTTTCAGCAACTGAGGGGAGCAGATGCAGAGTCCCTCGGCCAAACATTAGGCGGAGCTTGGGAAGTCCCGCGGAGGAGGCCGGTGGTAAAGATTTGAGGAACCAGAGGAGAACTGATGCACGGAATCAACTGACCTGGACTCATGCGGGTTTACGGAAGTCAGGAAGACTGGGGGTCTGATCTAGGACCTCTGCATATATATATGGTTAGTAACTTTGTGTTTTTGTCGAATCGTAACAGTGGGAGACAGGGGCTGTCCCTGACTCTCTTGCTTCCGTGTGGGACCCTTTTTCTTCTACTGGGTTGCCTAGTTAAGCCTTGATGTGATGGCATGCGCCTGGTTTTACCGTAGCTTGTTATGCAGTGATTGGTTGATGTCCCTGAGAGACTGCTCTTTTCTGAGGGGAGGTGGATGGAAGAGACTGGGCGGGGCGGGGAGGGGGGGTTGTGGTCGGGATGTAATATACAATAGCAGAATAAAACAAAAAAACCTCCAAACCCCAAAATAATAAATTTGGCTTGGTTTTTAAAAAAATGTTCGTTGTCCTTAGCAATTAGGGAAATGCAAATCAAAACAACTTCGAGATTCCATCTTACCTCAGTCAAAATGTCAAAGATCAACAAAACAACTGACAACAAATGCTCGGGGAAAGGGGAAGAGAAATAAGAAAGTAATATTGGTGGGCTGGCTCTGTAGTCATCATAGCCTTTAGTCAATGTGTGTGTGTGTGTGTATGTGTGTGTGTGTGTGTGTGTGTGTGTGTCTATGTTGTGAAGGTGCTCCCTTAGTTAGATGCTGTACTTCTGACCAGGTATTTTCCGTGTGTGTGTGTGTGTGTGTGTGTGTGCACATGCCTGTACATATGGTGTGTGTACACGTGTGTGCATGTTTTCTTAGAAGCTGGTCCTTCTGACCAGAGGAAACAGAAACAATGTCCTGCCGCCTGAACCCAGACTTGGGGGCCAAATCTAAACTTTCACCATCCCGATTCAGGTAAGACCTGATTTCCTAGACTGACCATTCCATCCTTGTATGCTTTTCCGTCGCCCTACAAGAGAATTGGAATCGAGAAGGCAGTCTACACCAGACTTACAGTAACCCACAGGGCGGCTGCGTGCTTAGAGCAGGCTTTAGTCTCCATAGTAACCAGGCCACGCCTGCCTCGGCGTGGGTGTGCTGAGAAACCAAAAGCCGTTTCCACCCCGCCTTGCTTTTGCGACAGTTGCAGCGCACGTCACCGCGGTCGAAGCCGGTGTCATCTGATTTACGGCACTTGAGGCCGGTGTCAGCTGATTTACTGCAGCAGCCCCGGCAGTGGCACCTTGCAACCCAGGCAGGGTGAGGGGCGGCTGCCTCGGCCTGGGGCTCCCCGGGTTCGCCCATCCGGACTTGTGCCCGCCCTGGTCCTCCTCGCGTACGCTCCGCCTTTGGCTCCTTTGCGGGGGCGCCCAAAGCATCTCCTACAGACATGATTATTACCTGAGGTGAAGCTTTGACAGGTAGGAGAGCTTTGGAACCACCTTGTGGAAGCCCAGCCCTAGAACTTAGCCTTGGAAGGCAGGGGTCAAAGGTCAGGGGTCACGAGCCCTCCCTGGCTGGAGACCTTTCCAGCTGTTAGATTGTTATTGTTGGATGTTGCTCTGTTTGGTGCTTCAGCTTCAGACCACCTCCGGGAGCCTTTTTCAGGAGCCTTGGGGTCCATGGCGGTCCCTTTGGGTCCCCTAGTCTGGTGACATTTGCTGCTTGTGAGCGCGGCCCTAGTATTGAGGTGGGATTGCATTGCTGTCAGGGATAATTGCTGGGTCGGGTGACTAGTGATGATCGTGGGTGTTTATTGGTAATGTTTCTGGGCAGCGTTCTTGCTTTGGAGCCCATATGTTCTGATTCCCCCCTGTTGGTACTTCTTTTCAGTTGGTATTACTGACTAAGGGTCAACACTGTTAGAGGATCACCTTTGCGCTGCCACTTGCTTGCTCTCTTTTAGGACCTGCTTTGTCAGGATGTCTGCTTTTCCTTACTGGTGGATCCTGGCATTCCAAAGCTGTGCTCCCAGACAGCTATCCTGCCTTTGATTTTAAAATTGTTTTGGATCCACTGGCAATGTCTGTACCTTATATCCTAGGCAGAATTCCCTAGTTCTTGGGTATGGAAACTCTTGCAGATTCAGGTGCATCACAGGCCACATGTGTGCTTTCTTGCTGCTGACTTAAGTGCTTAGTCAGTACCAGCTATAGATTCCTGTAATATCTGTCGTGGGACAAAAAAAGTAAGTTTATATAATTTCTTTTGTCTTTTTCTTTCTTTCCTTCTTCTCCTCTTCTTATTTTTGAAAGGAGGATTCTCCTTTGGCTGTTCTAGAACAAACATACTTAGAACATGTCCTTGTACAGGCTGGCCTCAGACTCACAGAGATCTTCATGTCTCTGCTTCCTGAGTGCTGGGATTAAAGGTTATGCTGGGCTATAGTTCTTTTCACTGACTTTTATTTCTTAATCTTGTTACAAGATTACAACTATCAAATGCTATATGAAAGAAATTGAATGCTGGTATTTTGCTGCATATAATTTCTAGTTTGTTTCAGCTTTTCACCTCATAAGCAATCTTATGATAATGTGAAGAAGGTGGTTGGTGGATTCCCAGATGAAATTTTTGCATTGAAATTGTCTTATAAAGAATGAAAAACTACTTTGATTTTTACCCAAAACAGCAGATCTCTGGTGCTTCAAGTTGGGAGAACAAACAGCATAACTACAAAGGAGAGTCTTACTGTCAAATAGCAAATAAAAATTATGGTAGAGAAGTTAACTTGTCAAAATTTCTATTTAAAAGTTCTCCAGAACTATACTTGCCAACTGGAGAGAAGATTTGGGTGACTAGAAGAATCAGAGAGACTAAGTTCTACCTGTGGGAACTTAGAATTTGGGGGACAAAGCCTTATGTAGATATTTTCTTTTATCATGAATATAGTTTCTGTCTTAGAGCTAAAGGAAGTAGACCAGGCTGGCTGCCTCCTGAGTGCTAGGATTAATGGTTGGTGCTACCATCTCCAACTTACTTTTATTATTTGTGTGTGTGTGTGTGTGTGTGTGTGTGTGTGTGTGTGAGAGAGAGAGAGAGAGAGAGAGAGAGAGAGAGAGAGAATGCCACATTGTTTGAAGGTGGAGTTTAGAAGAGAGCAGAGAGCAGTGCAGTTGAGCCTCTGGGCTTGGAGTTCCAGGAGGTTCTAAATCATCTGATGTGGGGACACTGTGCAAGTAGTTGGTTCAGGAGAGAAGATTAGGGTTTAGCTTAGGATGTGCTAAAGTTTCAGAAACTTACTGGTTATGCAGAGGAGTTTGGAGTTCAGAAGACAGCCCTAGGCTGACTGGGGGAATGATTATTGTATCCATAGTATTTTGGAGAAGGTGAATGTTTCATTGATTTTGCACTGTGCTGCTAAGCCATTGCTTTCCTATGTAAAAACTACAGGAGCCAGTGAAGCACCTGGGAAAATGAAGACAGTACTGCCCTTCACCTGACAGCTGAACAACACACTTTTCTGTGCTCTCAGGGATTTCCAATGTGAAGTACATTAAATTTTTCACCTAAATCCAGGAATAGATATAAATGAGTTATAAATAGCCTCAAAACACCGTGTTAATCTCACTTATTATCTTGAAATATAGAGCTCTTATACCCAATTTTTGTTTTTGTTTTTTCCAAGACAGGATTTCTCTGTGTGGCCTTGGCTGTCCTGGACTTCCTTTGTAGACCTGGATGGACTTGAACTCACAGAGATCCACCTATCTCTGCCTTCTGAATGCTGGAATTAAAGGCATGCGCCACCACGCCCGGCTTCACTATTTTTTTAGGTAGTGTGCTGGCTGGTTTTATGTGCACTTGACATAAGCTGGAATCAGTTGGGGAAAAAGGGAACATCAATTGACAAAATTCCCACACCAGATTGGCCTGTGGTTCATTTTCTTGATTGATGATTGATGTAGGAGGCCTCAGCTCACTGTGGGCTGTGCACCTCTGGGCTAGTGGTCCTCTGTGCTATAAGAAAGGAGACTGAACAAATCATGAGGAGAAAGCCAGTCAGCAGCATTCCTCCATGGTCTCTGTATCAGTTCTGCCTCCAGGGTCCAGCCCTGACTTTTTGATGATGTACTGTGATATGGAAAGGTAAGTGACAAACCATTTCTGTGAAAGTTGTTTATGATCATGGTGTTTTATCAGAGCAATAGAAACTTTAACTAAGAGAGGTAAGGTCTTGGCTTGCACTGTAGTGCATCTTGGCTGGCCTTGAACTTGCTATGTAGACTGGGTTGGCCTCAACTCAGAGATCTGCTGAGTGCTGTAGTTAAAGGCTGGTGCGGCTTTGTAGCCATTTTTTAACACAGATAATCTCATCAATTCTAAACAGCAGATTTTAGCCCCTAGTCCAAATACCTAGTCTAGGGTATTATAAAACAATGTACATTGTGTTTATCTGCACATATTAGGAAGCTGGGATTTCCCCTATTAGCAGTGATTGAGAATAGTTTCTTTTCTATAGTTCTTCCTACACTTTATTTCAGGTCTTTCATTCAGCACTATAGACAAGTGTGCCGGGGCCAGTTATATTACACTGTTTTATCTGGTGTGTGTGTGTGTGTATGTATGTGCGTGCGCACGTGAACATGCATGCTCAATCATGATCACTCCTTAATGAATTCCACATATTTCTTATACCCTTCTTCATTTGTTAGTTCATTTAGTTCTGAAGGTTTCCCAGGTTTTTTGCAAAGTGCTCCATAACAGGATTATGTCTCCTGACAGGACTGTAGAGTTCAAGCAGCCTTCACTCTTTAAAGCACCGCGGTTCATCTTGCTTCTTAAGTTTTGGCCCACCTTCAGGCAGACTACAGTAAACAAAGTCTACCAAAGCTTCCTGTGCGTGATCAATAGTTCCCACTGTTCCATATACCATTCTCTGTTGTTATCCATTGGTGTTTCTCTGATTTATGCACCAACAGCAGAGCGGGTCTTGTGAGCACCATTTACCACTTGCAGCACTGTGATCCAGGGTCACCAGCAGGGGCTAGATTTTACACACACACACACACACACACACACACACACACACACACACACACGCACACTGAAAGAAGAAGAAGAAGAAGAAGAAGAAGAAGAAGAAGAAGAAGAAGAAGAAGAAGAAGAAGAA